CGTACAGCGAAATACACACTTTCATTGCGCCCAAATTGAGCGCACCATGATGCTTTCCATTTGTAACGATTATTATTTATTAGACACCCACAACACTGCGCAACCACTGTTCCTATATGTGGCCTATCAAACAATACACCACTCGCCCTATGGCGTAATGGAGGCGCCGCCACCGCACGAGTTCCCGGATATGTTTGGCCACATCGAGTCAGACCAACGGAAAACAGTCGCGCGAATGATATACTCTACCGACCAGTCAATCGGCGCGGTTGTCGAGCGGTTACACTATCGCCAAATGCTTGATAATAGTATCCTGGTGAGTTCGGCCACATCGAGTCAGACCAACGGAAAACAGTCGCGCGAATGATATACTCTACCGACCAGTCGATCGGCGCGGTTGTCGAGCGGTTACACTATCGCCAAATGCTTGATAATAGTATCCTGGTGTTCGTCAGCGATAATAGTGGCCGTAGCGATGGTACGCATACAGTATACGCCCACCAATACCACTATTGGGATACCAATACCACTTCAGTATATCACTAAAGGCTATTCATATATAATTTATACATATATAGTATTTCTAAATGATCAAGATGACAAATTTCGTGACAATAATTACATAATATGCGATGTTGATAGTTTTGTAAGGGGGAGAGAGAGGGTGCAGGATTGTATTTCTGAAAGTACTTAGCTTATATAATTTATAATATTTAATACAATTAGGTGACCTTGACAGGTAGGGTGAAGCTTAAGTAATACCTTCAAAATGAGCATTGTGATGTTAACTAAACAAATGTTACGTAAATGCGTAAACAATTAAATATATATTTTTAAAAACTTTTATAAAGAAAATCCCGGAACCAATTGGCCGTTCAAAAACACACCCGGAATATTTCATAGCTTACACGAAGGAAGTATAGATATTACTGTCGCCGACATTAGTAATCAGTACTCAATATAATTGATATTTTAGTTTTAATGAGACAAACATTTATATTTGTGTCAGACGTCAGAACACCGGCACTCATATGGAGTTCATTGCTAACCAAAAGTGGTTACGTCTCGGACGCCATCGTCGACGTCACGGATCTGTTGCCAACAGTTTTGGAGGCCATCGACGGCACCGACAGTTTGGCCGACGAGCGCGACATTTATGGTACGAACCGTACGCTAAGATATCAATAAGTGAACGCAACGTCTGTATTATAGGTCGGTCTCAATGGAGCGCACTGTCCAACAACGACCGCCCGGTGCGACGGGAACTCATCTATAACGTCGACCCGG